ATAATGTTCTTCATGTAATTGTAGATTAATGATACCAAAATAAAAAATATATATTTATGCAAGACTGTTCCTAGTAGCTTTATTGAAAACAATACAAACCTCCATCAACAAGTGAACAGATAAATATATTGTATGTTCTCACAGTGGAATACTAGTCAATGTCAAGGATAAGAAAAAAGGAACAAACCTTAGATACATGCAGCAAAATGAAGAAATCTCAAAAACCGTAAGATGAGCAAAAGAAACCAGACACTGGAGTGTACAACCAGTATGATTCAATTTATATTAATTCTATATGAAGTAACTACTGGACATTCTATTTATATGAAGGCAGAAGGAAGCTTTGGTGATGAAGTTGAATGACTGGTTGTCTGGGTAGGGGTGAAGAGATTGACTGCAAAGGGCATTACAATTTTCTGAAGTGATGGAAATGTTCTCTGTTTCAGTTATGGTGGTGGTTACACAGGTGTACATTTGTCAAAACTCTTATGTTGAATTCTACATTTAAAACCTGTGCTTTTTATTGTATGCAAGTTATACTTTAAAATTGTTCTTAAAAAAAAATCCTGGTGCTATTGGTGTGGAGTTAGAAGTGTTTGCTGATACCTAGAATGGTCAAAGACCCCTGCCTCATCGCCATACACACATTAATCATGTTCTCGTTGGGCTGGAGACAGTTGTAACAGATAATCTACTTTCTCACCACAAAGCACTTAAATAATGGTGGATAAAGGAACACACCTTCTATTCTTCAAAACAAGCAAACAAAAGAAATACACATGCCCTCCCCCTGCCCAAATAAAAACATGAAACTCCTTGATAACTTGTTCAGCAACAATTCTCTCACTGTGGCAGAAAATCCTGTTGCAGGTGTAATTTAAGTCTCAAGCTGCATTGCATTGATCTTTCCTGTTGTTCTTTGGTAAATTGGAGCTCTCCCAGGTCTGGACATGAGTTTCTCCCCTGAGAATACCAAGCTTCTTCCTCAGGCAGAGTTTTGAGGCTGTAGCTGTTTGTAATGGTGCAGGGAACCCCTGGCCCAGCTGTTCTGTAATACTATTCTGCGGCTCTGCTGAATGACATCGTTGAGATCCCTGAAGAATTTGGTGAAACAGTCCTGGGGCCCGTGCCCTTGGGGTATTCCCCAGGGCCTTGCATACACTAACATTGCCTTTTTCTTTCTCCCATACAGGAAATGCTGAAGGATGAGGTGCGGACGCTCACTTACCGGAACTCCATGTACCACAACAAGCATGTGTTCAAGGACAAAGTGGTGCTGGATGTTGGAAGCGGTACCGGGATCCTTTCCATGTTTGCTGCCAAAGCAGGGGCCAAGAAGGTGTTTGGGGTGAGCACACACCCCTGCCCTCCACAGAGCTGGCCCCAGCCCTCGGCCTTCACCAGCTCTTCCTAAAAGGACCAACCCCGGTGCAATCCTGGGCCACACCCTCAAGGAGTGGAGAAAACCAAGTGTGAGTCTCAGGAGGTGGGGCAAGTCCCGGGCTCCTGGCTCCTCGCCCTGGTGACTGCTGACACGGGGGAGGATTTTTGACTTTTGGGAAGCCATGCCTATATCACCATTACTTTAGAGTGCTTGAGAGGCAGCGCAGTGTTGGTCTCACATGTGAGCTCTGGTTTGAGTCTCTGCTCTGCCTCTCGCAGGGCGTGTGACCCTGGGCAAGCCGCTGCCCTGCACCTTGGACCCCCCACCTATGAAAAGGGTGGATGACAGTGCCTTGCCCATGGGCTGGCTGCAAGGGGCAAATGAGTGTGATGCATGTGTGAAGTGCTCAGAACAGGGCCTGGCACATGGCAAATGCCCAGTGTTTATTAGAGTTGCTGGGATGAGGCCCTAGGAGATAATAAGATGAATAAGGGCAAGTCGGTAGATTTAGATTCCACTGCTCTGGCTGCTGCACCCTCTCCAGCTAGAAGTGGAGGCCAAGCCTCTGGGAAGCCTCCTGGCCTCCCTGCAGCTCCCGCAATGCAGCTGCCCATGGCCTGACGACAGAGGGGCTGGGGGTGGGGGGGGTGCCTGGAGCTGGGAAAAACTGGGACAAAGATCTCTGAGCTTCTGGCTGATGTTTGAAAAAATGATGTGGGTCCAAGGCTGGAAAATGGGACTTGATCTTGATCGAAGGGGCCATGCTACAAACTTCCAGCCCGTGTAGGAAACAGCCGTGCGTGGGGCCCATGGGCTGTGAGCCGTGGGTAGGGGCTTCATTCTCCGTGCAGCGCTGGGTCACCTTAGCCTGGCACTCGAGGCTCCCAGGTTGACGGGTGCTCTCCAAATGCCCTTGGCCACCCAGCCTCAGAGGCCAGCCCCTTGGTTCCCAGAGGGACAGCATCCTGCTCCCCTGACTTGGGAGGCACTTGGCCTTGGCTATAAGGGTCTTCTGGAGAACTGGACTGTCCTCAAGTCACCTCTGGTGTAGCCTTGCCTGGAGAAGCCATGATGTCTCAGCTGAGGCACGTGTTGCAGATATGGGGCCAATCTGGATGCCCAGGTCAAGCCCTGACGTCACCACGGTAGTGCCCGTTCCTGCCTTCCAGCCTTCCTCCACAAGGCCCTCCTCCCCAGGATGGAGGCATCAGGCCAAGGGACAGACTCTACCACCCCTGGGGGCCCGGAGCCTCAGGGCTGGACTTGGGCCAGGCGATCCTGCCTTCTCTCCAGTGCTGGGGTCTGAGCTGGGGGCCTGGGCAGCAGGTGAAAGCAAGGCTGCCCGTCACTGGCCTCCAGGTCCCTGGGGCTCCAGCTAAGGTGCTGTCAGGAGGCTCCCATTCAGTGCCTTCCAGTTTTGGGGACCTGGCCCAGTCTGTGCACCTCTGGCCTTTGCTGCAACTGCTCGTCCAAGAACAGCTTACCGCATCCAGCTGGGCTGCTTTCCCGATGGCTCATTTCTCAGGCTCTCCTGTGCCAGGCACCCCCTCCACCCACCCCAGGTGCAGGAGATGGGCTAGCAGGAGAGAGGGGGACAGATAGAGTGGAAGGGACAGGGAGGGAGGGAGGGAGATGGACGGAGAGGGAGAAACAGTTGACAAAGGCAGAAAATGAAGACAGTGAAACAAGGATAAAGAAAGAGACAGATGTGAAGAGGGAAATGGAGAGCAAGACAGAAAGACAAACAGACTGAGAGACAAGCCAGAGGAAAGAAGACACAGGAGCTGAAGGAAGGGCGGGGAGAGGAGGGGAGTGCAGGGGGAGGGACGTGGGGGGGGCAGGCAGGAGGGGGAGGAGGAGGGAGAGAGTGGGAGCAGCTCCTCCCTGGCTTGGGCAGGGGTTCCCAGCTCTCCACGGCCGCGTGGACAGGGCCTGTGGCTTGACTTAGGGTAAAACCTGAGGAACCTGAGGAACAGTTGTCCGGTGGCAGAGGCTGGGCGTGAACCCGGCTCAGATGCCCTGCTCTGCACCGCTGAGCTCAGGAGCCTCCTGCAGACCCACAGTCACATGGCAAAGAGGGGAAAGGCCTGGCAGGAGACAGTCCCACGGGCAGTGGAAGGCAGGGCCACAGGACAAGGATAGGGCCTGCGCCCTAGCCAGGCTGCTGCCTCTAATGCAGTGACCCCTTCCCGGCCCTGTAAGTGGCCTCAGCCACCCCAAGGCCTCAATGGGGCTGGTAGTGCCCCTCAGGGCCCTTGGGCACTGTCCCCAAGGCCCTGGGACACTCTGGGGCTGCTGGAGTGTCAAGGTGGGTGATGCCCCAGGGCCTTAGTACGGGCAGCCTCTGCGGGGAGCCAGCATCAAAGGTGAGAAGGGCTCTTGGCAGCTGCCCCTCAGTTTCCGCACCCCTGCTCCTGCCCTCCGCCCCACCTCTCCAGCCCTGCCCACCCTGGGCCTGCAGGTTCCCCGCGGGGACTTGATCCCCTGACACCCCCACAAGGTCCTGCTCTCTGCTGATGGTGAACTACATTTCTCAAATACCTTGGCGCTTTGCTTAGGACATTTTGGGAGCCTGGAAAGATGTGCAGATTAAAGGGAATCAATTCTTTGAAAGGTAGAGACCAAGGAGAGACTGAGCATTAACCTGTGTGTGATGTGCGGGGTGGGGAGAAGGGCTCTTGAGACTGGCCCTGAGACCTGACCTGCCATTTTCCAGACAGTCTCTATCCTGGAATGTGCACATTTTAACCAGGGAGGGCTGGGGGCCCTGGTGAGGACAATGTCCAGGGAGCCTCACAGCAGCTCTGCCTTCCCGCGTGCTCTTTGGACAGGATGGCTGCGCCACCCACCGTTCTCTGGCCAGGGGAGGGAGGCCTGCCAGCTCCTCCCGAGCCTGTGGCTCAGGGACCAGGCCCTCCGTTGCTGACAGTGGCTGGTATCGGCTTTGAGGCAAAGGCAGCTCCATGTAGTGGAAGAGCCACTGGCCTGCAAGTAGTTATTAATCTGCCACAAACAAGCTGCATGGCTGAGGGCGAGTCGCTGCCCCTGGAGGTCCCCGCTTCCCGGTCTGTTGGGTTTTGGTGTCGGACGTGCTGCGATTTGTCTGAGCCCTATTCCTTTGTCCTGTGTCCTCTCTAGATTGAATGCTCCAGTATCTCCGACTACTCAGAGAAGATCATTAAGGCCAACCACTTGGACAACAGTAAGATGGACCTCCAGTGTGTTTTCCCAGGGAGGGAGGGGGTGAAGGGACTTGTGCTTTCTTGTTTGGGTGGCACAGACCGGCAGGAGAGGGAGGGGCACAGCGCAGCGACTGCTGCAGGTGGAGCCCAGCTAGCTGCCTGCCCACAGGGGTCTGAGGTTCCTGTCTGTGCCATGTCTACCATGGGCTCCGCTTCCGGGAAGCTCGGTCTGTGGCTATTAGCTGCCGTCTCCCCGCTTGGTGCAGCTGGAGGCTTCCTGCTGACGTTCGCAAAAGGGCAGCTATTCCTTCTCCCCCTCTTCCTTCGCCACAACCCTCACCCTGCCTTTCCCTGGCAGCCAGCCATCGGCACCCCAGCAGACCCTGGGCGCTGCCTGTGGGGAGACACCGTCCCCTACTGCCCACAGGCCCTGGGGGTTGGGGGAACCTTGACAATAAGGTTGCCCTTTGGGGCGGGACCTTCTTCAGGCTGGATTCTGAATAGAAAGAGCAATGCCTTTCCTGCCTCCCCTTTCTTCCCCTGCGTTCCAACATCCCCACGGGGCCCATGCTGGGGAATGCTAAGGGATCACGTAATGTAAGAACCGAGGAGTGGCCCTTGACTTTGGCCATGTGGAGGCTATCATGTTATCAACAAGAGCAGACTCAATGCCAGGGTGGGGACCAAGGTCCAGCTGGGGCGAGTTAAGGAGAGACCATGAAGGAGGCTCTGAATCAGTCTTCTCGCTGTGATGGGGCACAGAAAATGGAACTGCAGCTGCAGGAGGATGTGGGGCTGAGGAAAGGAGTTGCTTTTTTAGAGATAGGAGATAGGAAAGTGCATGTATATGATTCCATTGTCCAGTGGAGACAGAAAAATTGGAGATGCCGGAAAAGTAGGTCCAGGAGCAACGCCCCTGAGAAGGTGAGAGGCAAGGGGTCCAGCAGGCGGGGGGCAGGAGCTGGGGCGGCTGGCCTTTGTCTGGAGTAGGGACCGTTTAACCCCAGGAACTGATGGGCAGTGGGGCGTGCAGGTCCAGATGGAGGTGGGCTGCTGGTGGAAGGCCTCCGGTTTGCTGCTTCCATTTTCTCAACAAAGGATGAGACAGTCACTGGCAGGGATGAAGGGCAGGAGAGGGAATGAATGGTCTCTCAGGGGAGAAGGAAGGCAAACAGTCAAGGCCAGTGGGGATCCCTGGGGAGCTGGCAGCACCTGGAGTCACTGACACAGACACACAGTGGGGCTCCCATCTCCCGCTGTGTGGTTTTGCATTTACAGTGCCCCACAGTGAGAGTGGGTGGGGAGAAGGGCCACCCGGGCGGGGCTGTGCTGGGAGGACACAAAAGGGGAGTGGGGCCAGGGGCTAGTGGTGGTAATGTCTGTGGACTCTAAGCTGGGTGAGGAGGGGTGACCAGAGCGGAGGTGGGAAAGGCTAGGGCAATGGCGGGCAACATGGGGGTCCAGGATCTGGGGTCCAGAGGCCTCCTCCAGCCTGAGTCAGGCAGATGTTGGTCAGTGACACCCCGACCTCTGGCCTTGTATCCAGCCTCTCTCTGTTCTCTCAGGGGAGCCAGATCTCTTCTGTACATGCCTCAGAAAAGTACCTGACCTGGGCAGAGGTGACTTAAGATGGAAAAAGAAATGCTTTCTCTGAGAGGGCGACACAGCCTGGCATCCCTGAGTTCTCATCTCATCCCCCCTGCCCAGTTCTGTGCAGTAGGGAAGCAGTTTCCCCATTTAACAGATGTGAAAGCTGTGGTTTGAAGATTTAGGGTAGAGCCTTGGTCCTGAGTCTTGCTCCTGAAGTGTATCTGCACTGATGTGGAAGCAGCGGAGTGCTTGCCAGTCAGTCCTGAAGATGAAAAGGAACTCCTCTTGGCCAGGGAGGGAGGTTCAAACAGATGTGGAATCCGATTTCCTCCAGGGCTCGAGTCTCATCCTGGGCCCCTGGGGGCCTTCAGAGACACTCAGGCCCTGCCCTGCCTCTGAACAGGGTTTGTGTGGCCCTCCAAGGACCTGCCTGGCCCTAACTTGTCTTCTGTCTCTTGCTGCCAGCCAGCCCCTGGGCTCTGGACCCACAGCCTCCCTGGCTCCCCTCCCTCCTCTGCCTTGCAGGGAGCGGCCACTGCCCCGCAGCCACTGGGAGCAGAGCGGGGACAGAGAAGGGGATGTACCTGTGGCAGCTGAGCAGTCCCTGCCCTTCAGGAGGAGGGCAAGCCTGGCTCCGGAGGCTTGCCAGGAAAAAGAGTCCCACGCAGCCCCCAAGCCTGTCCAGGCCCCTCTCTCCCCTCTCCTGATTTGGATTCCTGTAATTTTTAATTCCCCTTTCCATCCTTGGCCTTCCTTTTTCTAAATTTTTTTTTAACCTTTGAAACATTCCTACTTACAGAAAATATGCAAATATAGCTGCTTTTTTTTTCTTTGAGACATTTGAGAGTAAGTTGTTGTTGTGATCCCCCATCATCCATGAACACATGCATGTGCATTTTCTACAAGGGCGTTTTCCTACGTAGCCACATTGTAACCACTTGCATCAGGAGATTAACATCAGTAGGTCATCTTCATCTAGTGCTCAGGGCTGGTCATGTTTTGCCAGTGGCTGTGACAGTATCCTTCATGGTGAAAGGATGCTGTTGCCAATCACATGGTGTGTTTGGTTTCATGTGTTAGTTTCCTTCAGGACTTTCCCTCAACTTCCATGGTCTTGATGCTAGAAGGTCAGAGGGCAGCATTCTGTAGGGGAGCCCTCAGTTTGGGGATGTGTGATGCTTCCACACCATGGGCCTCAGGTCACGCGTTCGGCAGGAGCGCTGCCGGCGTGGGGCTGGATCCCCTCACTGTGTACTCCGGGCGGTGTGCGGTTTGATCTGTCCTGTTAATCACAGCATTGGTTTAAGGTGATATCTGCTAGCTTCTCCACAGTAAAGCTGCCATTTCCCCTCTGTAATTAGTAAGATTTTCTGAGAGAGGTAATTTGAAACCACATAAATATTTCATTCTTCATCAATTTCCTATTTTATTCAATGGGTTATGTCTGTTATCATCAGTACTTACTTTGATATACAGATTGTCCCTAATTCAATGGTTGGATTCCCTTCAAGCTGGTTTCTGCATCCTTCTGACGGGCCTCCTTCACTTTTTGAGAGCTTTCTTAGTTTCTGGCACCCATGTTCCAGGCTCATCTTGTACTTTCCAGGTCTCTGTTCTAGAATCAGCCATTTCTCCAAAGAGTATCTGAATCCATTTAGTGGACCATGGCATTTAGAAACGAGGCTCTGGTTTGATTTAGGGTATTGAGGCTCCCAGGGATCAGTGGAAAGAACTAGAGAGAGAGAGAGAGAGAGAGAGAGAGAGTGTGTGTGTGTGTGTGTGTGTGTGTGTATACACATGCATTACATAACATCCAGAAATGCATTCTATCTGTACTTATTGCCAAGCGTGAATTCATGTGGTGACTCCACTTCTCATCCAGCCCGGTGACTTGTCTCTGTTTTTTCCTTTTCCATGTTCCGATGCTTCCTTCTCTCACAATCAGAAACCTGGATGCCATTATTGTTAATATGTTGACAGTGGAATCAATCCCCCCTCCCTCTCTGTACACAATCTCCCACTGTTACCACCTCCCGCCCCCTCAGGCTTCACCCTCCCTCACCAGGCGGCCCTGCCGACAGGGTGCCCCCTTACCCAACTCAGGTTCTGATGCGCTGTGCTGTCGCCCTGCTGCTCTAGCCCCAGCACCACACCACACACAGGACCATGGGAGCACCCACACCCACCCCTCCTTGGGCAGTTTGAGCATCAAGTTTGCTCAGCTCTACCCAATGGGTCTGCAATGGGATCTGCTCATGCTCCTCATCTTGATGGCTCACGCTTGATTCTGTGCTGCTGAGGCAAAGGCCCACAGGCGACAAGCCGTTGCCTCAAGGGAACAGGCATGCCCATGCCTCCTACCTGTTCCTACCCTCACACCGCACCCAGGAAGAGGGCACTCCACCCAGGGGCCTTTTTAAGGCAAATTTGTCTTCATTTCTTCCTCCTGGGTAGCACCAGGTGGGGGGAGCGATGCACCGCCCGGGACGCTGTCTGCCATGCCAGCTCACGCAGCCTCGGCGTGTGTACTAGAAAGAGGACAGCTTGACGGCATGGGTGCTTCCATGGAAATGCTTTTGAAATGCTGCAACAGCCAATTGGTGGGTCTTAGGAGTGTAGGTAGAGAGACATAAATAACAACACAGGACATAAAATCCCTGCCACCCAGAATCAATCATTCTCCCTCTCCACCTCCACACGGCTCTTCGGGATGGATTTCCTCACATGTAGATGCACACCTCCACCGTGCCACCTGGAGTGGACGTGCGGCCTGCACGCAGCTCCTTCCACATGCATGGCCACACACGTGCTCAGGGACTCCTCTGTGACTTAAGCACTGATGACTATTATTTCCTTCTTTCCCTGCCAAGGAAGCTAATGGGCTGCTGAAAGGCTTAAAAAGGTAGATTCATTGGTGAAAGGTGGCACAGAAGCTCAGGGATTGGTATTTTTATAGTTCCAGAACCAAAAAAATTCTAATCCATTAACTTCTCAGAATACTAAAGGACAAAAGTGTATCCCTCCTTTCTCTTGTTTGACCTGTTCACATCCTAAAGCATAAATGTCACTGAGGGCAGAAGTCTGAGCATAGCATGACACAGCAGAATGGCAGCTGACAGGTGCCTTCTGCCACATCATGGTGGGGAGGGCTTTGTCAAACCCTTTCTCCTTTCTGAGCTACTGCTTGCTGCCCATAGAGGAGAGAGGTCCATGTACAGCTTTCAGGGTTACTGGGGGATTAGAAAGAATGCTTGTAAAATGCCTAATTTGGGGCCTCCCACGGAAAAGGTGATCTGTAAGTATTAACTATGGGTCCTGTCAGGCTTCATGTTCTGCACGATGCCCCTTCTTGGCCTCATGCTCCAAGCCTTTTATAGCTATGAAACTTGGATTCTGTGCATTATTCCTCTGTGCTCTGTGAGCATCCAGT